GAAGGCATTGCAGGAGCCCAGGCAGGTGACCATGAGCAAGTGAGGACAAGAGTGAGAGTGGTGAAGATGAAGATTAGACAAATTCAAGAGAGTGAAATGCACAGGATTCAGTGATGGACTTAATATGGACAGTGACAAAGCAGGAGGGACCAAAGTTGCTCAGTGAAGATTTATCAGGCTCCTTCTGTAAGCAGGCGCTGTGCTGGTATCTGAGTGCACAGTGGTGAAAAAATAAACACAGCATCCAGATGAGGATGATTCTTGGGATTCTGATATCGTTGACTGGCAAAGAGTGAAAAGGAAGCCAAATTGTGGAGAAGATAAGTTTTGGATGTTGTATTTAAGGGGCCTTTTGAGACCTCCCAGTGGAGACATTGAGGAGGAAATGGGTTATACAAGCCATGAACTCAGGAGAGAGGTCTCATCTGGTGATATAAACAGAGGGGTCATTGGAGTCAAGATGGTCATTAAAGCTGTGGGAGTGAATAAGATCGCCTGTTGTTGCCCAAAGCTCATGACCACTCTTTTCTCACCTCAACAGAATTTAGAGAAACAGGACTGAGATTTGCATAAGAAGTTATTTAAAACGCTGGTGTATTTATTCACCTCAGGAAATGATTCAGCTATGGCTAACTTGTCTTACGTACTGTGAGTTATAAATGACTAAAGTACAAAGGTGCTCTGGTGTAGTTGTTCCAGGACATGGGCCCCAGTGACAGCACCAAGTCAAGTTTTCAGCAACAAGTTTATCTTGGGAGGTTGGTAAAATTTGCAGATTGTGCCTAGAAAACATTCAATGGAAAAGCTGTATACATATTAATGTCTGAGGGCCAGCCCGTGGCTCACTCGGTAGAGTGCGGTGCTGACAACACCAAGGCCACGGGTTCGGATCCTATATAGGGATGGCCGGTTTGCTCACTGGGTGAGCGTGGTGCTGACAACACCAAGCCAAGGGTTGACATCCCCTTACCGGTCATCTTTAAAAAAAAAAAAAAAAAAAAATTAATGTCTGTATATACTGGCATAAAAGAATACTAAACTATTAAAATAATTTGGTAAGAAATGAAATATAGAGTGGTGACAGTTCCATTTTTTGAATTCATGTAAACCCTGAATAAGTTCACTGAGTGCTGCAGTGTCTGCCAAAGGTCAGGATATCAGTGACATAGATCATCATTGCCTGCAGTTTGCTGCATTTCCTCCAGTAAAATACAGAGAGAAAATTATGTTGGTCTCTGAATCCTGCTTGCGAACCGAAGAATTTCAAAAAAGAGTGAATTAGCTAATTGCATAACAATACCTAAATAATTGTAGGGTAGTGCTCGGACATTTTCTCCGTTTTTCTACAAAACCATACTGCTAGTCAACTTTGATCCTGACTTTATGCCTGCCGTGGTATCTGTGGAAACATCGGAGGGACAGAACTTTACTTTCAAGGGAAAGGCAGTGTGTAACCCAGGAGCTCCTTCCTTCTATGCGTCTGAGCTTTCCTGACTTAAGCAAAGAGCCCGTTGCAGCCCACAGCAGGGCCACCTGTGGGATCATATAGTTCATGTGCTGGACAACACTAGGGATGCCATTCTCATAAACTGGGGTTTTGCAGTGTGCAGCGAGTATGACCATTTGCAAAGGCCCCTGGCAGAAACCACGGGTTAACTACCACATTTAGGTCTGCGTTTTAGGGCTAGCAGCTTTGTACCCTTAGGAGGTGGGAAACCAAGATAAGGGGAAACAGAGATAATGAGAAGAGTAGAAGAGTGGGCATAGATTAGTTTAAACCTCAGTTAATCATTAATAGTTTATTGCTTCTTTAATTTAACTTTTTGTCTTCCTTGAAAAGGAAAATAAGAGTTATCTTTAGAGAAGCTTCTTTTGTTGACAGTGGCTGCTATTTTGAGACAGAGCAGAAGTAGAAGTTGGACAAAGACATTCTTTATTTTTGTCCCTCCAAATACATTGTAAATGGCTGAAAAAACACAGAACAACAACACATTGCCTAGTGTAAATACATTGCTTGTTTTAGGAAGAAAACTAATGCAAAATAAATTTATTTAAGCACTATCTACCAATGATTTCCTTTCAAAGATCTGTTACATTATACAGCCTTTGTTTTAACTATTTTTTTTTTGAAGAGTAACATAATCCTTATTGCAGATTATAAAATGAGAAAATAATAAAGGAGACGAGTGCATCTGGCTGATGTACTGACGTTTGGTTTGGTTTTTTTAATCTGAAATTATGAAAACTTCTCTCAGAAGATCCTAACAGACTTTATCCAGATTCCAGATAGTTTGCTCTCAGCAACACATACATCTTCATCAACATTAAATGTTCAAGGAAGGAAAGAAAGGTTCCTTTTGTTTGTCATTTTATTTACAGGATTTGTCTGCACAGCGAAGAAAAATGTTCCATTTGCTTTAGAGATGGTCAGAGATTTCCAAGCCATTTGGCTCGAGAGATGATTTAAATAGGAATGAATTTAATATACCTTTAATTCTCTGAAGTAAGAGAACTCCAGCTGAGGTTTGGTCCAGGGAGAAGTCTGCTCTCGACACTGAGGAAAATCTATCACATTAATCCCAGCGGCTGAGTCCAAAGCTGCATGAACAGAATGCTCGAGGAGAGGAAGTGTGAGCAGAATGCTTTGAAAGAAACTTTAAAAACTGAATGAACTGCTCAGAGAATACCAAGTCTTGTGTGGAATCATCCAACACTTAAGGAAAGATATAAATAATTATGCATGAGAATCACTGCTAATTAAAAATAACTCAATGCATAAAAGGAGAAAAAAACTATAGTATAACTTTTCTGCTTCAATGTTAATGTGAGATGCCACATAATGAAATAGTAGGATTATTTTTTTAATTTCATTTCACACAGGCATAGAAGAGATGGAGAGGAAAATTATATTGCCAGAAAATGCCAGGGTAGATTTGCTAAACATGTTATCATTTACCGTATTTAAAACAAAAATCTAATTGCTGTCATTTATCATTACCTCTGGTTATTAAAACCATGCTAATTTAAAGATTTTAATCATTTGCCACTTTTTTTTTTTTTTTTTTTTTTTTTTTTTTTTTTTTTTTTTTTTTTTTGTCCGGAAACGGGCCCCAACCCCCCGTGTTCCC